ATCTGCCGCGTGATAGAGCGTGATTCATATCCATGCCTACGGAGTACTCCCACTGCTATTGATTAGACGCCATTATGTAAAATACAGCCTAGAACATACACCATTCCGATGCTGTATCTAGACATGAATAATTAATAGTGAAACAGAATACCAAATAGCCATTAGGAAGAAATACAGCAACGTAGCAAACAATGTAGGTTTTCATAACTAGTAGACTGACAACTGGCCAGTGGATTGGAATGCGGGAAGCTCTGGTGGAGCCTGACACTCCGCCCCGGCCTGTTTCAACGCTATCACCACGGCATCACTGAATTGCTCCAGCGCTCCCTTTATTTCACAGCCAAGAATGCTCGCAGCTCCTCGCCAATTGTTGCGCGCAAGTCACAGGACCTAAGACCGAAAGTTTTTGGCTAACAGCCCCACGCCAGCCCCTTGTCACAGCCCACCAACGCTTCCATACTGAACTGGAACACCCCGTGATTAGCGGGGATCATTGGCAATGAGCGGCCAAAACGGCTATGGTAATGGGTATGGCTACTCCGGTCCCAATCGGTATGATGGCAACGATGGGGGATACGGTAGCAACAATAATCCTGGGGTAAACGGATATGGTGGACTAGGTGCCGCACCGCCAGGCGGAGCTGGACGTTCAGATCGTCGCCCCGGGGGATACGGCGGTTTCTATCCAGACTCGCCCCAGCCGCCGGCTCTACCATCAGGCCAATCTCCTGCCCCGAGCCATTCGCCTGAGCGCCGGCGCGATCGAACAAACCGGGATAGGCAGCAACCCTCTCCGCAACCGCCCTCGAACCCATCTCCGAATCCCTCGTCGCATCCCTCGTCGCAAGCCTCTTCCCATCCCTCTTCGCGGTCACGCACAAGGAACCAAGAACCCGACAGAAACTACCAGGAAGAACGGTCTAGAGACGCAAGTCGGTACGCGGACAACAGGGACGAAAGAGACCCGAGAGACCAACGGAATTACAGAGATCAGAGAGAACAGAGGGAACGGAAGGACCAAAGGGACCATAGGAGCCAGAGGAATGCGTCGCCCGCAGTTAAAATGGGGGATGATTCGGGGGAACCCCAGGCCATTGAAAGTATGTCTTTTTTTCTTTTGCTTAGCCTGGCCCAGTAGCTAATCACGCTACCTTCTGCAGTGATTCTCCAGTCTATTCAGCGCGACTGGGATTTCATGACTGATGCCGAGTGTGTCCCGGTACACGTCGCTTTAAGTTTGATGGACACAAGTACATTGGGCAAAGCGGATCGCGAACCAGAATTTTTGCATATGTACAATGATATCCAGAAGACATTGAAGGCAATTGTCAATGGTAGGCCCTTTCTGCGGTGGTTTGGACGGGAATATGCTAAAATTACATGTCATAGAACACCATCAGGGATTCAACAGTTCTATTGGAACATACCACAAAATCCAATCCAATATATCTTCCTCGCAAACTCGAGTACGCAGCCTGAGGCATGCCCTGGATCAAGCTAAATCCGGGTTAATATCAACCAAGCCCGAGCTGAAAGGGCTGGCAACGTCTTCTCAGAACTACGATGATATCGTTCAGCTGTTCACTCAGATTGAGGAAATCCAATCCCTTCCCGAGAAATTGGAATCTCAGATTTCAGACAAGCGCTTCCTTGCAGCTGTGGATGTGCTTCACACTGGTCTCCGGGTTCTACGGCGTTCGGAGCTGGAGGACATTGGCGCTTTATCCGACATTCGCGCTTATTTCACAAACCAGGAAACGTCACTCACAGACATCCTGATCGAGGAGTTGCACGACCATCTATACCTTAAATCACCCTATTGCTCAGACCGATGGAAAGCACCCACGTCTGATGAAAAAGAGGTACATACATCTAATTTGGCCGGTAGCCGCTCTTGGGAACGGCCTGTGTATGGTTTCCTAGCCAAGTTCGATCCGTTGACGCCTATGGTCGAAGACGCCTCTCGTAACCCGGAGGCTGACACGTTTTCCTACATTCAATTACTGATTGAAGCGCTGAACAAGATGGGTCACCTTGACGTCGCGGTTCATAGAATTGAGCAGCGTCTTCCGGTTGAACTGTTTGCTGTGGTGGATAAGACCAATGCAGAGGTTGACGCTCGTTATCCTGCACCAACCAAGAGCTTCTCAGCCCAGGACAACTACAAGCAGTCCAGTCTCCCCACCGAGATCATTGAAAAACGTGGCCACGTGCTTTCTGAATTTTTGTGGGCACTGTATGCCAAATTTGAGGCAATTGCGGAAGGCCACCGAATTCTTCACGATGTCGTTGCGGCCATTGTGGAACGAGAAGGCCTGATTAAAAGCGAGACGCTTTCTGGAGGATTCAAGGAGTTGTGGAAACTTCTACAAAGCGAGGTAAGATGCTAATAGCCTTGACCAGCATCACGGATATTAATTTGTTTTGCCAGATACGATCACTCATGCACGACTATCTTGCAACCGATGGAGACTCTTCTGTTCGATCTAGAGCGGAGGAGAATGATTCTCGACGGCATCTATACACAGGCAACCGCGATAGGAATAAGGTAAGGAGTCCAGTCGTTTTTATCATTTTCAAGTAGCTGACCCTTTACGTTGTAGAAAATGTTCAAGTTATCCGATATTGAGCAAAATTCCGAGATGAAAGCCGAACAAGACGAACTGGATGAAATCCTGAAGTCCTCAGTGCCAGGACTTGTTTCCAAGTCAAGGCAAAAGGCCGCAACAAATGATACTACGCAATCTAATAAGGGTAACTCAGGAACCGGGCATAAGATTTTGCTTGAACCAAGTGTCTTCAATATGGGAATCCTTCTTCCTCCCTCCCTATCCTTCATCCAGCGACTCAAAGATATCGTTCCTGTTGATGCGGATATTTCTATGGGCACTTTGACCTCCTTTTTGGACGACTTCATGGTGAATGTCTTCCTACCCCAGTTGGATGAGACAGTGACGGATCTCTGCACGCTCAGCTTCATTGCTGCAGATGCGTTTACCGAAGACCCTCATTGGGCCAAGTCCTCTCCTCGGCCTATTTTCAAGGGAACGGTCAAATTCATGTCCATTGTTCGGGAATTTAGCAAAATGCTGTCGAGTATTCCACACGATCAAGCATTTACGCAGCTTCTCATTGACCAGATCGTGACCTATTATGACAAGTGCTGTGGGTGGTACAAGGCAATGGTCACAAAAGTTTCTGCACGGAACCGAGGAGGCGAAATCCGACTGAAAGCTGCGGCTTCCTTTGCTGAATCAGGCGACATCCATGATGTCGTCGATGAACTATGGAAAAATGCCGGGGACAAGAAACAGACCCTGATTGATACGGAAATCGACCTTCTTCTCAAGCGAACGGGGCAAGTGCCACTGGAGCCTTACGACATCATATCTGACCCGAAAACCGTCATTTCCCTTTCGCTCTTGTACAACAGCATGCAATGGCTTGCAAGTCACCTCACCCGAATTCGACTTGTGGTTGAACAGACCGCAGATGCCGAGTCATCCAGTTTGACTGCAACTGGCCGGCCGTCTCGTAGATGGACTCTGTTCGGATCGATGAAGCCCAATCGTGATAGCATCAATAGCCCGGTGCATTTGCCACTCAATCACGAGACTGCCGTGGCCTTTGATGGGACGCTCCAATCATTACACCGGCTTGGGGATACTGCACTTCTGACGATGCATGTTGACATCCGTTGTGGCATCATCCACATGTTGACTAAAACAATGGCCGGGCCGAACCCTCCCAACTTGAGGAACTCCGAGCCCGTCACTCCATCCCCGCACACAACGGACAACTGGTGGCACATTATCATGAATCAACCGACCGCTGCATCACCCACAATCCTCGCACTCAACAATGATCTCATCGCATTCGACACTAACATCTCGACGTATCTGGGATCTGTTGAGCGCTGGTTCATCACATCGGGCCTGGCAAGGTTTATCGATCGGGTCTTTGTCGCCTGCACCCAGTATATTGGGGCCATGAATGAGAATGGAGCGCTGCGATTGCAGCTTGATGTGCTTGTTCTCCAGCAGAACTTGAAGAACATCATCATCGACCCAGCTGGTGAATCGTCAGATTCAGCTACAGATTTACATGTGCAGGCTTCTCAAGAAATCGTCGCTTTACCACGCAGCGCAAAATTCCTGGATTGGTTCCTGGAAGGTGCCGAGAGGACGCTGGACTATGCTAAGGAAGAGAAGGAGGCCTTTGCCTCACAAGGTAACAAAGCCTTGGCTGCTGGAAACGGCGAGCCATTTACTTACGAGGAGCTGCGTGTTCTCGTAGACCTATGCTTCTCTGAAATTCTCCGTGGTCCACGCGGGGCGGAGAGCCGGGAGGACTTTATGTCGGCGAAAAAGGCCAGTGCGGATGCACTACTGAGGCTGAACGAGATTATGTGGGATGCTCGATAGACCTGTTCTTTGGTTTTCTTGTTGATTCGCTCCCTTTTAACTGGTAAATCCACTAATAGCCTTAAGTAGCAATCTCATTTCACCTTGACTCACAGTCATTTCCTCATTTTTTTCTTTAATTTAAACAATCTCCACTAGCCCTAACTCGGATTAGCATAATGGGCCAATTACCGTTTTCGGCTTCTCCGGAGGACTCACACTGGCTGAGGATCCACGCCATGTTTCATCTTTAGAGTGTAGTTCTTACTATGAAATGAACAAATTACTAGTATTACTAGTTTATCAAGCCATATGCAGGAGACTATGATGGATCACCAGTGTGCCTAGACTTATATCTCACTCATTCCATCCTTTCCCTCTCTCTCCTCATACCTTCTTTTGCTTCCTTTGCACTTCCTGTCTGGAACAGTAATTCTTTCGAATCTGGCATTCGTTATCCAGACGTCCATTCTTTTTGTGCACCTGCACGTCCTATCCTTAAGAGTCAATCTGTGACTTCACTCATTCGATCTTTCATCTTCGACATCTTGTCTTACAGAACCCTTCATTTTTTAACTTCGATCTACATATCCAACAATGAAGTATCTTCGCCTAGCCTCCGTGGCCGCTCTTGTCAGCGCTGCTACTGTGTCCGCCGGCCCATTAGGCGCCCGCGAACATGACGGATACTGTCCCAAGGGCTACACTATGAGCGTCTACTACAAGACCGTCACTGTGGAAACATACCCAACTGCGACCTCCGTAGAGACTACCGTTACCCCGACATCTACTCCGGTTACTGTTGAGTCCCAATCCTCCGCTGAGCCCACAGTAGCCTCATCGTCTACTACCATTGCCGTGGAGTCTACAACCCCCGTCGCAGTTGTCCAAGTCGAGACTACGACCTCTAAGGCCTCTGTTGCTGAGACCTCTGCCGTTGAAACTTCTGCTGCTGAGGCCGCAGTTGTCAAGACCGCCCCAGTTGTGGCTGCTCTGCCCACTACATCAGCTGAGACCGCCGCTGTCGTCAAGACCATTGCTGCCCCAGCCGTGGAGACCGCCGCCGCGCAGACCTCCACCACTCAAGCTCCCGTCGAAGTCGCCAGCACTTCCACCACTCAAGCTCCTGTCGAGGCTGCCAGCACTTCTACAGAATCTGCCACTTCCTCCTCTTCTACCAAGTCTGCTTCCAGCAAATCTGTCTCCACCGGTTCCTCCAGCGGAAACTCCGGCAAGGCTACCTTCTACGGCGGCAACGTCGCCGGCGGAACCTGCTCGTTCTCCGGCTACACCCTCCCAAGCAACCTCTTCGGTGCTGCCCTTTCTCTCCAGCGATGGGACGATGCGGCGGAATGCGGTGCCTGTGTATCCGTCACCGGACCTAAGGGTAACTCCATCAAAGCAATGGTAAGTCAAGCTCCTCCCCCTCCCTCCCTACCTTCCATCTCCATCCTAAAGCAACCCTAACACAAATCAGATCGTCGATCAATGCCCTGAATGCGAAAGCAACCACCTCGACCTCTTCCAAGACGCCTTCGCCGAGCTCTCCGACATCTCCGCCGGCATCATCCAGACCACCTGGTCATATGTCTCATGTGATCTGGATGGACCCCTGAAGCTCAAGAACAAGGAGGGTACATCCGCCTACTGGTTCTCGATGCAGGTTGTCAATGCCAACGAGCCTGTGACTGCGTTGGAGGTTAGCACTGATGGCGGTAGCTCATGGAAGAGCACCACCCGCACTTACTACAACTTCTTTGAGAACACCGCCGGATTCGGTACTAGCACTGTTGATGTGCGGATTACCGGTGCTAGCGGCAAGACTGTTGTTGTCAAGGATGTCGGAGTTAGCTCTGGCAATGAGGTTACCGCTGCGTCCAACCTGTAAATTTTCCGTTAAGGGGAGGAATAGCATATTTATTTTCTTCTGTTGATATTCTTTATTGAGGTGGTTTGGTGAGGAGATTCCTGTGTTTCGAGGTTATCTAGTCCATTGCAATTGATCTATAACAATGTTTATCTACAAGGTCACACACATTCTCTCTCTGTCTCTTGAAACATATAAGTCATTGGTTCTCTCTATCATAAATCCGTAGTTGGCTGGTAAAGACTCAGTTGTATATCTCACAACCATAATAGGCCATGATGCAACACGCTAATGAATCTGTTCTGCTGTGTATGCTGTCCGCCAAATCTCACATCTAGTAGATCATTACTGCGTCGTCACTTCCTTATCGGCCTCGACATTCTCCACATGCGGGTGTGAGTCCAGACTGTGAACCGTATCCTTGGGGAAAGAAACACTATCAACAAGACCGAGGATTAGCCATCTTACGCTGGAAGAGGACCTATAGTGTCAGAACAACTCACGCAAAGCCCTTGATCAACGAATACTCGTGTCCGATGGTGCCACCTTGCTCCTTAGCATGGTCCTTGACGCTAAAAGACATTGAAATATTAGTACAGTGTATCTCGAATATGGGCGTGAGATACATACGCCTGAACCTGGTCGTCGGTTGCGTCTGGCTTGCACGTGATCTGAGAGGGTCAGCGAAATGCCCATGAGGGTGTATGTTCTGGAGATGTTATCTACTCACAATGTAGGAAGACATGTTGAGATGGTTTATAGAAATGTAGTGATGGTAAGGGGGGAAACAGACTTAAATAGAGAGGAGGAAGATGATCTGAACTTCGTTGACATCATAGAGGGGTAGCCTCATAAGCTGATCAGGGCTGTGTTATCTCCGCACGCTAGTCCGTGAGTCAGTGGCGGATTATAGCACATGTAGGTATACTTGAATTCTTGTTTTGGCTTATTGGCTTATTCTTTTTATATCTAAACCTCAATGACGCCTTATGGAGGTACACAGAACTTGTAGCTCCCTTTTTAGGGCTACATACATATAGGCAGTAACTATTCAATGATGTAACCCTAGACACACCTACAACATACAATCACCGTCCCCCAAGCATCCAGGTCGTCTCGTATGTTTCAAGGCTGGTTGGGCTAACACTATTTCGGAACTATACTTAACTGTATCCTCTATTTTATCCATGGAAGCGCTCCGTCCACGAACTTCCTAAGCCATTACCATCAGGACAAGTGATAATACCAAGCAGATGCAAGCGAGCAATGTGCTCCCCTACGATTGCGCATCGAACATAGCCAACCCCTACGACGCTCCAACTGTACAATTTTCATGGCCCTTCCTCGGTGCTCGGGTGAGAAGACGCAACTTGGACTCGGGATCTTCCGAGGGCGGGGCCATCTCTACCACAACCTAACCCCGATGAAAGGGATATATCCCAATCTACACCATATACTTATGTCGTCACATGCTGAAACCCAATACACGACTAAACATACAACTATGACACGATTCCTACAAGGATGAAGGATGAATCTAAAGAGAGATGTAATAAAGCAGTTTGAAAAAAGGACTTATGAACCCGCAGCTCCATTCCAAGGCAAACCCATCCCAGCCGTAGATTCGCCAGCCCACAATCCATTAATGTTGAAAGAAAGAGAACTAAGGAGAAAAGAAAAAAAAAAACAGAACAAAGCCCGAGTAGCGTACAAAGACCGCAAATGTGTGTGAGCAGAGAATAATCAAAGGGGGGGAAGCAACAGAAGAGGAAATTGCACAGACAAGTTGTAAGGGTAGCTAATGGGGAATTTGACCCTCAGAATGCCAGAGGCAGACCATATTGCGAGGAAATGGGGGGTAATAAGAAGTTCATGGTGATGAGGTTACATCGATTGGAGGAAACATCCATGGGAAGTAAGAGAAAAGATCTGTCAACAGCAGAATAGCAGATTTGAAAAAACAGAGAGATGAGGGTATGTTCAAGTATTGACCTCCGGAAACGCAACAAGTCGTAGCACATGCAGAAGAATAAGGATAATAAGCCTAATCCATCTCCAGTGACTCTAGCTCTTTTGACTCCTCATAATCATCAAAGTCTAGGCCGGCATCCCGGCAACGCGACAGCCACTTTAGGGCAATGTTGTTGCGTCGGGCCACCTCGCCTTTGAGCTTGGAGTTCGAGCCACTGATCTCGGCGATAGCATGATTAGCAGTCAGACTGTGCTTCTCGAATTGTTCGTCGATGTTCTTCTTTTCTTCCTGGAGCTGCAGGATATATTCAATGGCGCGTTGGAGTATCGCACCCTTGTTCTTATCGCAGTTCGGTACAAGACGGGCAATCTGGTTGATACCTTCATTAATAGCTTCGCGGCGGCGACGTTCAACTAAGGGAAGAGGTCAGAATGTAAATACGAGTTGGACCAGAAGAGTAGTCCTTACCTTCTTTGTGGTTGTTCTTGCGAATTTGGTGCCATTCGGGGGAACCGACGGTAGGCTTCTGGTTCATACTCTGAGCCTCACGCGCGGCATAGACTGCAGCGGCGGTCGAGTTGTGGTTGTGGCCACCGCCCATGGGAGTCTGGTTCATCTCATCGCCAAAGGACAGCCCTTGGGTGAGGTTGCTCGCATCGAAGCCGGAGTCAGGAGGAGGGGGATACTTGTGTTGAGGAGTGTGGGCAGCTAGGGCGGCTTTGGCATTGGCGGTCAACGCGTTATCATCAGACAGGCCGTTCTGCGGACCGACATGTTGAAGAATTTGTTGATCGATGTTGAGTTCGGCCCCAGTGTTAGGAAGTCCGTGGTCGTAGTTGCCGAGCCCTCCGTGGCCAAAGTTGTGCTGGTTATCCATGCTGCCGTTGCTTCCGTGGGAAGAGCGGTTAAGACGCTGCGGGTCGGGGCCAAGATCCTCAGAGCCGTCTCTCTTGCGCTTGTGGGAGCCGTTATCCGGACTATTCATGGTGGGATCAGACATGCTAAGCCCTAAAGCTAATCGTCCTATTCGTGGTAGTGGTTAGTGGCCAGTGAAAACCGACGTGAAACAAGTTTTGGAGAACAAGAGAACAAGAGAACGGTATGTGATTGGAGATGTCAATGCAGCCTGCGGTAAGTTGGTGCCTGGTAGATCAAGTCCCTCTTGGGAAGATCAGTGGGCACCCCGCGAAGTAAACAGACGCGTAGATCCGACGCGCTAAGGCATCCTAGGGCAGTCACGTCGGACTCGGTCATCGCCAGTGTATTTTTTTCTGGCAGGTGGCAGTGCATGGGGATAGTTCTACGGGGTAGTGACGTTGTCAAGCGATCGCATATAATGCGATGTCTCGAAACATCCGCGAGGTTGCAGACATCAGGAACGCGTCATGATGGCTTACAGGCAGCGCAGGTCACACAGGGGGCAGCATCGTGAAGGGCACCAGTTGCGATGAGCATCACGACGCGAGGTGCAATAACATGGGGAGATATGGATGAAGATGGGGTATTGATGGAGCCGTACCTTGGGATGATCTCTCTTTATCACCTGACAGGAAGTCACCTGCCCGACAACAACAAGACTCAGGTCACGTTGTCTGCGAAACCCCGAATTCGAAATTGGGATGTGAAAATGTGAAAGTTGAAAATTTGAGGAAGCCGATATCAGGATATGCGAACGACTTAGCAATCTACCTCGCGGTAAATTTAGAAATAAGAAAACTTGTTTCTTTAGGAAGATGTAGAGCAGCGGACAAGTTCAAGATGGATTGCTCACGTGGCAAGGAGGTGGTCAAGAGGAGGAGTCGCGCTGAATCCGGTAGTCCAGAACAACCAATAGTGCAATAAATCACCTGACTGTCTATTCAACAATATGCACTGACGTAAGCAAACCGCATACCGCAAATGAGCCACCTGGAAGCCCTGAAGGTCTAGACAATTTTGCAAACACAACTAAAAAGAAACCGACAACAAGAGCTGAAGATAACCAACTAAAATGCTCGAATGGCCCCGGGGATGTTTACGCCTCCATCTCTCATCGGAAGTCATGTGCAGCCGTCCCGTGCCCCTCTGCTGCACACCTATTTTATTGGTCTCTGATTGGCCACCGGATCTCGGGGGAGGGATTCCCAGATCACGTGTATGGGTACCTTATAGACCAATCACAGGTGCTATTGAACCACTACGAGGGGGTGATCGGACCGTCGGATACAAAGAACTTCATAAATCTACACAATCAGCAAGTATATAGGCGTAGTCTAGACACACTAAAAGCCGACTAACTACATGCAATATACCCGGCATTGATCTGAGGTGACTGCCCATCCTTATCTTTCTGCAAGTGATCAGGCTAGATCCACTAGTGTATGGAATACCTCCTTCAACCGAATCAAAAGACACAACACGGGAATATTCCAGAACCATGGTAGCAATGGGAAACAAGGTCGTGCATCATGTAGCGGGTGTACTGGTCTAAATCATGATATAACACGAATTCTTTTCGAAATACACCCAACTTACAGGATACATCGTTGGTAGTTCTCATCGGGTTACCTCTGATCTCTCATCGGGGTGGGGGAGAGGAGAATCACATGTTTCAGATCAAGCATCCTGAAATAGCATTCCTCAATCTCTCCACACCACCATGTCTCCAAAGGGTTGCATCAGATATCCAAAAAGGTATTTCCTAGTACTTTGCGTGCATACTGATCAGCGTGAAGACTGAGTGATCAGGAGGCCTCAGAATTCTACCTCGATGCGATATTAAGCTAAATATCTGAGCTTTTCGACTGAAGATTGCGACGATCTCGATGATCTTCTTCTATATGTCATCACGTTTGAGTCCTTTATCACACGGATCCCCTCCACATGATGCACCTGTGGCAATCGGTGGAGTTTCCATTCTTGTAGGAAGGATCGCCATAACACTGAGCAATATACACCGTCTAGTGTATATATTCTTGGGTTGGGAGGTATCACAGAAACTCGGGTGATCGAGATGCCATTTCTAATGTCATGCCGCAAGGGTGGACCCTCGACCTGTTCATAGACTCTGCCCTATGTGGAATAGCCTGACGCGTCCAGTGCGCCGCATCACTCGGACGCCTTTTTTAGTGCAAATACCATTTGCGGATCTGCCGTAGTATCCGCGAAACAAATACCTTCCTCCGTGGCGCCTAGCATGTCCCAGCAAAGTATTTTAACGTCGAATGGGATGCCCGCATCCTCTGTCTTACTTTCCTCCTTAGGGGTGTGCGCACCTGACTCTGCATCTTCCTCCGCAGCATTTAGAGTGGGCCGTTGGGTCACAGCAATGATAGTGCTTGTCCCCGCATATCGCGCCGGTGGCTTGGTATCCTCTGTCGGTGGCTCCTCGCCCGACCGATTAGAAAAGACGATGACGATCTTCTTCGGAGACTCTGCCGCCTTTCCGCCATCCAGATCCACGTCATGTTCCATCCTCTTTTGCAACAGGGGCCAGAATCGCTGAAGCCAATAGTTGAAAGTATCCATCTCGGGCTTATCCTTCAAGGCATCGAGCTCTTCCCGGCTCAGAGTGGTCAGCCAGGCCATGGACAATATAACAAGCTGGGATTTGGAGTCAAGCACTCGAGTTGCAAATTCCCACTTGTCAAATGGCGCCTCAAACTTGTACGGGTTGATATCCATGCAGATACCTAGCGAAGTCGCAACCCGCTTTTTCTCGGACAAAACCTGCTCGCCCTGGTGCACCGGGCTCATCAGGGAAGACAGCGTTTCTTGGGAAGCGAATTCTAGCTCATGGAACCCTCGCTCCACTTGACCTTCGGCCGCCCACGTTTCGTCGGTGTAATACAAGAAGCTTTTGCGGTAGTTGAGGATGAACTCCCCGTTCTCGTCGACAACAAGTAGTGAGTTATAGTATGTGACTTTGTCGGGATTTTGAGAATCCTTCTCGATCTCCGGATACCCCACGCAGACCTTGCATCGCAAGCGTCTGGCAGTCTCACGTGCCCACGAGCCAGAGGGGCCGTCACCAACTGGCTCGAGATATGGCTTGATCGCTTCCAAGGAAGGGAAGTTATAGCCTACTTATTGATTAGCCAGTGAAAATTTCCACAAATCGAGCTGAATGTTAGAGACTGGGGGAAGACCGGGGGAAGACTGGGTTGATGTTGTTCAATATACGGATGGTTTGTTGGGAAGGTACGTACCCGTCATCGCCAACTCGGGCAGGACCAGGATATCGGGCTTCAACAGATCGACTCCGACGCCAAGCTCTTTTCCATCTACAGAAACGGTCTTGCCAGTCTTCAATAAAGCATTTGCTTTCTCAATATTGCCTTTGAGATCGCCCAGCTTTGGTGCGAATTGAAGGGTTGCGATCCTCATCTTGTGAGGCGGTGAGGTTGAGAAGTTTCTGAAGTTGAGAAGTGACACGTGTTGCGTGATAGGAATTTTCCTAGTGAGTCGCGATATAGATGTGTTTGAAGTCAATGGTAGTGTTGACGTGGTCGAGGTATGAAGTTCACGACTTCTGGTCCCAACACGGACACAGCGGGGCAGGATTTTTGCCAGGATGATGACGGGTGGGTCAAATCCTTGAACTATATCACGATATAACCAAGATAATTCTTTATATACTGTGATTTTCGAGTATAATCCAGGAGCAAGTACTTCCAGGGTATGGTTGTAGTTTGGACGGAAGGGCAATGTTTTGGGCCACGGGTCATATGAAAGTTGATGCCTCAGGGGTGAATATCCCTATATCCCTCACCTTCTAGATTCACCATCATAGGCATTTTAATATTCACAAATTCCAACTGGATTCCTCAATGTCAGGACTGTAAAGTAAATTTATGAACAGTAGAGCCGCACGGAGTATGAAAAGCACCAAGAGAACGCCAATACTCGATGTACTTACATACGTCGTACACCCTTAGGAGCTATTGAACTACGGAGTAAGGTTGGCACAATAACATGTGCATCTACTTGATGCCGACGATGTTTATATGTGGTCTTTCGGATGTATAACCATTTAGAATTGGCCTTTTTATCTTAATACCTTTCGCCATGAACCACCCTACGCTTCTTAGCATGATAAACAAAGCTACATTTTGATACACACTTTTCTATCCTCAACTGCTCTATTTAACCCAATTATGTATACAGCTCTGCATTGATTCTTGTTATTTGACTATTTACACATGGATTCCGAATGTTAAACAAGAAAATGCCGTTATCTCTGCTCGCAATCAGGCAATGCCCATTTAACCATCCAATCTGACATTAGGACCTCTTCAGCAGTTGGTCGCTCTTCTGGTCGGAATGACAGCATGCGGCGCATCAAATCCAGGAATGCAAATTTCTCATCTTCCTCAATCTCGCCTCCCATCTTCCGTCTCCATTTCTGTATACCAGTCTCAAGTGATTCCTCAAGCGTAGGCCATTTATTTTCCTTATAGGACTCAATTGGGTATCCATGCTCATCGAAAAATTGAGATCGTGCTTCCCAGTGCTGCCACCATTCCAATGGCATATGCCCTAGTACATCGATATGCTGGGCCGCTATCTGATCCCCATCCACAAAATCGGTGCTAAAGATGGCCTTCATTCCAATAATCTCCTATATTGCCGTAGCCAGACTCCAGATATCTGAGGGATACCCCAGCGGCATTTGCTTTTCAAATTTGGCTTCTGGGGCCCGAAACGCGTTTGGTGTATGGCAGTCTTTCCCAAGACGAGTTTCCAAAGCCAGGGAAAACGCCTCACCAAAGTCAATTAGAAGCGGGTGCGCGTCGGATGATGAGAACTCCTCCGCATATTTCCCTATGAATAGCGGTACAACAGCTTTGGTCGGGGCATTGGGGGACAATGGTTCCCCGTCACGCCGTGTGATAGGGACTGTCTCGGGTTCGCCGAATCTTTCATAGAATTGCCTGATGGAAAGGTCATCGAAACTTGACGGGAACTTGCACAAAATGTTATTTAAATGAACATCTAAATTGTCCAGCATATGTAATATTAGCAAACTGGTATTTAAATAACCATGGTTATAACAAACCTCCATGAACATAGCCTTGTGAATGTATATAAGCAACGGCCTGTGCGAGTCGATATGAGAGGGCTCGCGCAACCTCCAGAGGGAAAAGATGGCTAAAAGAGGCCTCTCTAAGGTTGCATTGGGCAGGAACCACCGTGTGGCATGTATGTTTTCCATTGGGACCTTGCACTTAGAATTCATCTAGGAAAATAGGTACTAAACCACGTCCAGGATGTTCTGATGAAGTCGACGGAGTCGAAGCAGACAGGGCTTTAAGGACTTTTGTCTCGTGCTGAATCGAGTTGGCCACGCTGATATTGAGAGTAACATATCGATTCAGGTAAGTATCTCGGGCAATCCAAACCGTCGAATAGCCCCCAAAACCAAGTTTGTCTGTAATTTGACAACGATTATGCAACACGTCCCCCACCGTGATGGGGTGATACCCCTCAGGTTGATATTCTTCAAGCACCTCAACACCCTCGATCCAGTCATATTTGACCCAAGATTTCTCGACCTTTGTGGTGCCTAACCGCACGAAAGACATAGCTTCGAGCTTTCGACACCAAAGTGATTTGAAATCTGGAATTGAAGGTCGAGATGAGCTCAAAAAATGGATAGAGCGCGCGAGCATTCCCGAGAAGTGTGCCATGGCGTGCCGGGGCAATCAAAGAAGTTTACAACAATGACGTATCCTTGAAAAAAAACCGTAAACTTTGGATGCAGCACAAGTTAACAAGGATACATCAATCACGTGGTTGACTAGGATGTGGTCTCAAGAGCATTACCGCTCTCATATGGCAGGATATACATCACATACATCGATGTAGGGGTATATATGTGCCTATGCTGATGTTATTATTGGTTAAACATACCAATTTACCGCCTCGCTTTCCGCCCCTTCGCCAGTTCTTCTCGTTCTTCTGCAACTCTGCGTTAAAATTCAACATAAATATGCACGTCCTTATGACGTTAACAGCAATTGCTAGGCACCTATCTGATATCCAGTGAGGGATTTGTGCCTTTTTCGAGGGAATTCTTATTTTTTGCAATCTTAGGCTGACTAGTTGATTTATAAAACAGCAATGATGAAATGATGACGATAGACGAGTGGCATCACAATGATAGGATGTGTTATAGCCATGCAAGCACGATATCTAGACTAATACTACGGAAAGAAGCATTCGAATTTCGTTTAAAGGGATCTTGTTCTTATCCTGTACTAAACACATCATAGAAGTATACACGTCGGGTAATCTAAAATAGAAGTGGAAAAGAGTTGGAAAAGAAGCGATCAAAAGGGTAACATGTAGCCTTTGGTATGATCAGTGATAAGCTGGCGATATAATAAAGCAAGACCCTGCAACATTAGATGACAACCTTGATGGGTCGCCTCCGTTCATCATCTCGCAATCCTCCAACAATGGCAGAATTCACAAGTAAACATTTTGCCTCCACACTTGGATTGAAATACGCCTTGACAAACTCGCAAATTGTAAAGAGAAGATTCCAAACCCCCCTCTAGCAACGATAGTTCGCTCGTACGCCTCCTCGAGCACATCGAACAAGATCCATTCGGTGCCTGCACCAGCGTGGACATGTCCAAACACATGTAGTTTAGGCTTGACTCTCCATAACTCCCGCAGTAGGTGAGCACAACCCATATTTAGCAAGTCAAGATGGCCGCGTGGCGGACCATGAGTGATTAGCACATCAACCCCGTCAGGCACCGAGCCAGTCCATACGTCTTCATCACGAGGATATTGAAAGGCCCAGTTGCCATACCGAGCAGTAAGGGGACTTCCGTAGATCTTAAGCTGGCGACCATTTGCACAGGAAACAGTAGTCTCCTGGTTTTCCAGATAGATTATTTCACCCCAGTCAATCTGAGCCCGCTCAGCGATAGCTTGGTCCGAGTTGTCGCGCGCTATGTCAAGTAACATATCGTGATTTCCAGCAACAACTATTTTTGTGGGATGGGGCTGGGCACGTAGCCAGGCGAGTGTTGCCTGGAGTTCCTTTAATGAGCCTGATTGTGTGAGATCACCAGAGTGAATGAGAATGTCTCCATCGGGAAGACTGGGCTGGCTGTTGTGGGTATCGGAGACACAGACTATAGTAATAGGATTTGTGAGTGGTTTTGCGGGGATGATTTGATGCCAAGTGTACAGCTTCCGCGCAAGGAAGATGCAAGGCTGGGCCGAGAATTGTTCCCAGGCTGAGGGTGGTTGTGGATTGAGGAGGTCACTTAAGCTGGACATGATTGAAGATTCCGGAGGTAGTGATAAATAAGCCACCTTGGACTGCCACTTTAACCAGGTGGTGCCTTAGGCAATGAATATAGGTGGCATTCTACGTAGATTTCTAAGTACATCCAAAGTTGCTAAGTTTAAATTTAGTATACAGTATTTAATGTCCAATCGAAAAATCTATTGAACAAACAACGCATAAAGGTTCTGAGGCTATGATATTCATCGCTAAAAGAGTTGGCGCTTGCATTCCTCTTCTGGTAATCTCTACCTCTACTTCACGCCTAAAAATTGCGAGAGACGCAGAAGGTAGCCCACGGCTTACGACCTTGGGGTAACTGCCCCTAGCGGTAAACTTACCTAAAGTAATCGAGCCTAATTAAGAGTGTGCCTTTGGTTGATTTTATCATCTTCTATCCATACATAATTATTGAATCTTAGACGGATCCGTGGAATAATCCTCCAACAATAGCCTCAACATCTAGCTCATGCTCAAGATTCTCGAAAATATCCAACGACGACATTGGATCAAAGATATTTGGATGGTACGGTTGATATGTTGGCCTTGGGCTGTCTGTCGAAGGCGTATTTTGAAAATCAATGGGTGCACTTTCTTTATTTCGCAGTTAGCTCAAATATTGGGCAAAATTCAAATAAACCTTGTGCCTACCAGTGGTTATATGGGTGGAAGAGGTACGCAGCTCTGGATTTTGCTGCGCGGTAGCATCAGCTTGGAAACCTGGGCCTTGATGAGTATCGGAGCCCCGTAAGAGATGTTCTCCTAGGTCTGCTATGAGTGAGGCCGAATGATAAATTTCTCCGAGATCTCTCAGAATATCACAATTCAAGCCCACTTGCTTTCGAGCTCGTGATCGGAAATATGATGTTTTGCTTTGCTGTAGACTGCGATATGATACCCGGAGACTCTGTGAAACAGCATATGGGACAATCGGGAATAGAGTAAGTGCTTTACGGAACTCATCACCTACGATAGTTGTGACCCGCAAGGCTGAAAGGTTTTGGCGCAGGTATGATGCTGAGGAACGAGAACAATCGCCAGGGGCTATCGAGCGACAGGACAGTATGGCAACTGTATGATATAAAACTTCGATTGTTGCTTAATTGCAAATCAGTTCCCAAACTTATACTACGGATAGAGATTGACATACCAATCAAGTGTGTGGGAATACTAAGTGCGTCGAATTCCTCTAACACGTCCTCGAACAAAGGAAATCCGTCTTCCCATACAGCTTTTGATGAAGGGCGGTAAAGTTCAATGACTCGGTCCATCAAGGTAATCGTGCGCAGGAAGAGACGAAAGCACCCTTGCTGGGCTGCAATACAGGAATGGAGATCACGACCAAAATCTCGGGCATGCATCTGCATTGGCCTTCCGTGAAATGCTGCATTGAGGATATCCAAAGCGTACATGCAGCAGAACAGACGTATTGAGTTGGTTTCAGATGGTGAATTTGACTGACCATGTAGGTGCAGACCCATGGTATGCGCATGGGCGAGGGCACGGGAGAAGAACTCGGCGGATTCTTGTCGATCCCCGGAGAATTGTGTGAATAGTGAGATTATAGCGAACACCTGAATGAGCGCCGTTTTGTCCTTCACCAGACCCAGTGCCAATGATGTTCTTATCACTCCGAAGAGGGCTCGAGAGAACTCATTGCGGGATGAAACATCCATCTTGGGTAGGTGAAGATACTGTATCGAATTCGGGCTCACACTGGCAGCGAAACATACTGCTTGTGATAACAATGCCCACTCGGGAGAATCAGAAGGCGTGTTTTTATAACTTTCATAATCCAGTATTGGAAAAATGGGGTGAATATGTTCCAGATAAATGTGAGTGAGGCCAGCCAAGTTATCCGGACTAGGAAGAACGCTTAGACAATGGTCCTCTAAGTGAGGCAAGAAGACTGAGGATATCAAAGGATCCGGCGAAGTGATGAAACTAGATCGTGACTTTTTGACAGCAAGTCGGGAAAATCCACCGCTTCGTCTTGAGGATTTGTCGGAGAACCAGACACCAACATCATGTTGTTTAGTGGTTCCAGTACTCCCACTTGGACTTGCAGCTGCCAGCAATGTACCTTCGGGATTCAAATCCCCAATAAACCTAGAGCCCCTCTCTAGTTCCCCACATGGGGATTGTTCTTGTCTATCTGCATCAGTGCTGTCGGTGGTTGATGTGGCATCCACAACTTTAGAGCCCAACGACGACAGGGGTGTCATAGAATCTGTCGAGGTATATGCAGGTGACATAATTTCGAGCTCTGATAGCTGTATGGGGCTCTCCTGGTGAGTACAACGCCTTTTGCGTTTCCGACAGTCTTGACAAGCATGGTGGGTTTGTTTGCGCTTTTGAGGAAGACCAGTAGCCCCGGTTGCGACGAATGTGAAGACCGGCCTCTTCTGCCGATGACCTCGCATCTTGATACTTGTGGATCTTTGATCATGCAAGAGAAGTTCTTTCCAACACATTTAGCAAATGTACCCGAGCTTGTGGTTGTTTTCCTTTTTTTTTTTTTTTTTTTGGTCATGAAAGGGTTCATACTCCGCGGCTAAAAGATGCGGAAAGATCTCCTAATTAGACCATTCCGTCCAAATTCAATACTGGTACGGACGGGACGGCTGCCTTTTTAGGATAGCCAGTGGAGTGTATAGCGACGATTCCGCCCCTAGGGTTGTATGGGATATTTAAGAAGCAGTGTCTGGATTTCATGAAGCAAACACTATCTTTGTTACTTTACTCAGAAATCGACTTCCGTAGAAGATATACTTAGCCCTTCACCACCTTCTATAAGAGAACTGATAATATCCAAGATTGCCATCGTATATCGGTTTACAAGCAAAGCAAAGACAGCCATGTTTCCTAAACGAGAAACTCCGCCCAACCTTTAAAGTCGCCGCAAACCCTATTGCGGGGACCCCACGGGGAAACGAGGACAAAATTCTCATAAATAGAGGGTCATCCCACTAATTATTTCCCAAGCATTTGTGTATATCTTGGATCATCTCACAATGGCTATCCTCAACATCGACTTAGATTGGCAACGCCACAAATGGCCACTCTTTTATTGTTTTGTTTCACTCTTCGGAGCCTTCTGTTACGGCTATGACACCATCTATTACACTGGCGTCCAGGGTATGGAGCCTTTCATTCACGACTACGGGACCAAGACCCAAGATGGAACCTATGCTCTCGAGACAACCTTCCTGTCCGTGACTGCGTCGGTGATCTACGCCGGCGAATTCTGTGGCGCCCTTATGACAGCCCCAATCAACGATACATGGGGCCGCAAAGCAGTCTTCTACTCTGCCTCAATCTGTATCATTGCAGGCGCTATCGTCCAAGTATGCTCATTTGGGATCTACGGCGCGTTCTGTGCTGGTCGGGTTCTCATTGGGCTAGGAATTGGACAATTCACAGCCACTTGTTTGATTTATATCAATGAAGTCGCCCCAGCCGAAATTCGTGGACCTGCTCTCATGTCCTTTCAATTCATGCAATCCATCTCCCAATTCATTGGAGCTTGCATTACACAAGGCACACAAAGCATCGACAGCCCCTCCTCTTACCGAATTCCCATGGGGCTACTGATGGTGCTTCCGGGTATCATGATTATCCTGCTTCCATTCATCCCGGAGAGTCCTGTATGGTATGTTTCCAAAAGTCGACATGAAGCTGCCGAGGCAGCTCTGCGAAAAATCTATCGAATGCAAGATTACAACCCGGCGGAGGATCTTCGACTTATTCAAGAACAAGTTGATAAGGAGCGCGAGATGGAATCCGAATCCTCTTGGTCATCACTCTTTAAAGATCCAATCGAACGACGGAAACTTCTTTATTCCTGTGGCGCCATGTTCGTGCAACAAATCAACGGTATCCAATTCTGGTATACGTACGGAGTAGTATTTGCACAGTCGATCGGTGTCGGTGAGCCCTTCACTATCAACACCGTCATATACGTTCTGCAAATAATCACAGTCGGGGTCTCAGTTGCACTCGGGAACAAACTCCGGCGCCGTACAAACCTACTAGTTTGCACTATTGGAATGATGTGTTCTCTAGTTGCAGTTGGTGGACTTGGAACGACCCGTCAAGGAGGGTCCTTCACGCAAAGCGTTGGAATTGCGATTGTTGTCTTCGCTTATATCAACATTGTCTTCTTCAACTTCTCCATCGGCACGTTGTCCTACACCATCTCTTCTGAGATGGCAGTTGGTCGAAACCGAAACAAGATTACTGCCTGTGCCATGGGGGTCTTCTTCTTCACCGTCTGGTTGATCACTTTTGTTTGCCCTTATATCTACTACTCGGCTAACTTGGGGCCAATGCTGGGTTTCGTTTTTGGTGGAACCAGTCTTATTTGCTTGCTATACATCTGGTTCTGTGTTGGTGAAACAACGGGTCGTACAAACAACGACATTAGCCAGCTATTCAAAGAAAAGGTCCCAGTGCGTCAGTGGAAAAATCATGTTCTCGAGCAGGAATATGGTGCAGAAGAGGATATGAAAACCTCATCCATTCAGGAGATTGAACATCCAGTCTAGATGCTTGCTTTGTTCATAACTAGCCTGTGAGAAATTAAATATGCGATGTAACCAGACTTTGCCCCCAAATAACAAAGCGTATGCATATCGAATACATCTTTTATACCCCAGTCTGTATATAAAAAGAAAGCAATTGAAAGATTTGAATAGATTCTCGCTGTGAATGTCCATTGGGAAACAAAGATATCATTAAAAGCGACTCCATAAAATGCAAACATGAGATGAGCATAGACAGTAAGCGGGTGCTTAGATCCATGGCCCATATAAAAGGAGAATAAATCAGTGAGATATACCATGACATAATTACAACATGGGGAATGAGGAAAGCATAGTGCATCTCCCTAAACGCCGTGAGAAGACACATCTTTCTCTTTCTCATCCTTCTTGTCTTTGTCGTTATTTCCCTTCTTTCCGTTCTTGCTCTTAGCCATCTCCTCTTTCTCTCGCTTATGACGTTCGAAATCCAGGGGCACATGTGCCAATCCACGGGCACCAGTGCGTCTGATACGCTGTTCGGTGCGGGACATAGGTCGATCTGGGGTATCAGGGGCGAAGGCGACCTCGTATCCTCTGGCAGTGCGATTAAGTGCCAGAGGCGGGGGTACATATGAAGTTGGTTGGGGCATTGTTCGGGCACGATACTTTTCTGCCATCCGGGCAATGGGGTTCCAGTTTGGGTCGTGCCGTGGCTCTCGGATTTTTCCAGTCCAGCCATCAAAGATTCCAGGGCCAGTTCTCAACTTCTCGGCCAAGATCCGTGCCCGGGAGAGGGCAATCTCGTCCTCGTCGACTTGACGAGCCCGTTTCAGGCGAGCTTCTTCGATGTACTGGAGTTGTTCTTCAGTAAGACGCGTTGGCTCACACAAGGCCTTGGCTCGTGCAAGTTTCTCTTCCAGCTTTTCTAAGATCGGGAGCTTCGGCATGGGGCGGTTTTCTGCTTCGTAGACAGAGAACTTAAAAGGGACATGTTCGTCCTCTGTGGAAACCTTGGGCACCTTAGTACTCGGACCATGTTCCTCCGGCTTGGGCTCGGGTTTTTCATCCAGCACTCGCTTCTTTTCATGGACTTTAGACTTCTTGTGCACCGAAGACACTTGCGACTCCTGTGGCAGAGGCTTTTCCTCTTCGAAATGCACGGACCGTTTGAATGATCCATCAGAGGCTGCAGCAGGAGCTTTTCCTTTCAGCGAGGAGCGCCTCTTGCGCTGGTGTGATGCATTTGCATCGGTGGCTTCATGCTGTCGTTTCAGTGACGCTTGCTGTCCTGGCACCGCTGAGGGTTCTGGGCTTTGGAACAAGGGTGCTGATGGCTGAGTAGTTGCCGTTTCAGGTGAGTATGCATTCGATGTGGTGTCAAATATTTTAGGCTGTCGAAGTGCTTCAAAGAGAGTCCGGGGAGGCGAAGAGGCGGTCGCTTGAGGGTGCGAAACAGACCGACGTGCCCCTGAAATTGAAGTGGATCCGTTGATAGGAGGTGGGCCAGGCAATTGGGCCTGTACAGGTGCAGATTGACTGAATACCGAAGTTCCACTCAGCTTGGGCGACTGTAAACTACCCAGAGACGGGGACAACCCCAATGGTGGGTTTTCGGGCATGGGTGCAGTAGTCGCTGGGATGTCTGCTTTCTGGCTTGGCTGCGGTGCCTTGGGAACTGCAAAGACTGAGCCGGGGACTGGAAATTGGCTTGCAGCCGTGTTTGAAGACCCTGAAATGGTGCTAGCATTGTTCACAGAGAACGGCGAGAAGGGCTGACCGGAACTCGACGCAGGTGCGGGTTCCTTGGCTTCGGCAGCTGTCTCTGGGGCTTTGAGGGCCTGGAATGGAGATGAAGCAGCAGGGGTAGCTGTGTTTCCCAACCCTACAGCTGGGAAAGATAGTGGAGCGTTCGGAAGCGTAAATGGGTTGTTCGATGCGATCGTTGTGTGCTGGGCTTTGGCATCGGTCTTAGTCGCCGTAGACTGAGCAGAGGTATTTGTGGCACCAAAGGGGTTAGCGCCAGAGAATGTCGAAGCCGCGAAGGGGTTCTTGGATTCAGTCAACGAAGCGGGAGGTGAAGTGCTGGGCTGGAACAGCGTAGAGGGGGCTGTAGCAACTGTAGCCGGTGTCTCTGTCTTCTGAGTTGGCTCTGATGGCTTCGAGAAAGAGAATGGGGACGGCGTAGTGAAAGCACCCGCGCCAGAAGAGAATACAGAGGCAGGTTTATCCACAGTCGACGTCTCAGGAGGGGTGGCGCTGGGTTTGAATAGCGTGGAGGGTGCGGTAGTAACTGTTTCCGGTGTCTCCGTCTTTTGAGTTGGCTCTGATGGCTTGGAGAAGGAGAATGGAGACGGCGCAGTGAAAGCGCCGGTGCCGGAGGGTAGCACAGAACCGGAGCCATTCGGGAACACGGAGGCGGGTTTGTCTGTAGTCGACGATGGAGGAGGGAATAAACTGGGCTTTGAAAGCGTAGGCGCGGGCGGAGTCGTTGCAGGCGTCTCCGTTTTGGGGTTTGCGTACGCTGGCTTTGAGAATATGGACGAAGAAGAAGTAGAGGCGATAGCAGACGACGAGGGCCCGGCAGGGCTAATAGACGAAACAGCTGGCTTGTCGGCAGCGTCGGGTTGAGAAGGAGGGGGTTTTATTTGGAAGGGTGAGGGCGTGGTGGTCAGGGCAGAGGCGTCGGTCTTTTCGGGTTCTTTTGGGAAGGAGAACGGATTTGGCGAAGAAGTGAAAGGAGATGGCGCTGCGGGCGTAACGGTGGTGGAGGGGATTGAAGTTGCGAACGGATTCGAGGCAGTAGATGCCATATTAGACGGCTGAAAGGCCGCCGCGAAAGGATTTGGCGGCTTCGAAGCGGCGGGTGGTACATTTGACTGGAAAAGCGAAGGCGAACCTGCAAGAGTAGATTGTAAAGATTTCTGAGACTCAGAAGCAATCCGGAATTCAGAAGCAGATGTGTCCTGAAGAAAAGCGTTGTGTGTTTCAACCACAGGTGCGGGCGTCTGATTATCAATATCACTAACGAAGAGATCCCCGTCTTCTGCCTCAGCCTCAGGTAGGGGTTCACTCTTTTGAGGCAACTGGGAGCGATCTATCATGCCCATTCTTGCGGCTTCTCTGATGTTCATGCCAAGAATTATGGCAACAAGACTGCGCCCGGCGCGCTTCGACTCCACGTAGGTTTCAGAGAAAGAGTGGTCAGATGAAGGTGCGAAGTCTGGGAAATTGTTAGCCACAAAACAAAGAAAGGGGGATATATAGGATTGAAGGTATCATGAACTTGGGGTGACGGAAAAGGGTGAGGTGGGAAATGAAAGGAAACCAGATTTGGCTGAGATGAGGTTGTCGTTTTAAAATCACTTACCAACAGAGTCTACTGGGCGATCACCCCAATTGAGATAGAGTCCACCACTCGCGTTCTCCACAAACTGTAAGCCCTGGGCATTGCAATATTCAATTGTCTGCTCATCGTCATCAAAATGCAACACCTTGGTTAATTCCTCCACAGTCCAGTGGTCGTTTTTGGATTGCTGTGACAGTGGAGTCCGGCAGTAGGCTTTCCAGATTGCGCGAATTGCCGTCTGACGAATGTGGTTGAAGTATACCTCAGCCACACAGGCCATCAGATATGACACACTCGGGGAATTGATGATGTTGAAGAATCGGGTGTAGAATCCTTGAGCAACTGCGTTCGGTCGGCGAGAATCCAAAGCACCTTGAGGCTCCCATGTATTACAGGCAGCAGCAAAGAGTTCCAATGCCACCTGCACTCGAGGTGAAGCGAGTAGGGCAGGAGGCCATTTCTGGACACGGGCTTCCAGGTCAGGCCGCTGGTCATGGATCGAGAACAAGATGTGGTAGGCGCGGAACTCGTCCTCATTGGGGAAGTGAATGCGCTCGCGGTTGTCATCGTAATAGTACATGAGAGAGAGCATGGTGTTGTTGAGCTGCTCGCGCTCCTGGTGACGGTCGAATTGCTCCGTGTTCGCCGGGTTCGAAAGAAGATGCAGGGACACGATATGGAACCGTGCAATCCTTTCCAAACAAATGACCGCTGTCTTTACATCTTCTTCGTGTGTAAGTTGCTGAACCGAGAAGTCGTTCCGGATTGATCGTGTCCGGTTCCAGACAAACATGTGGATGACAGCCAACGATTCACCACCATTAATAACGTAGCGGATGAGATAGTTCATGGTTTGTAAAAGTGTCTTTGGTGTCCGGATATCCGAGGGCAATTGCTCGTCATTTCCAGCTGCCGCACGTCGGAAGCGTTTCACCATTTTAGTTTCCATGATTTCCAGCTGGTTCGTTGCCGGATTATAATACTAAAGTCGTGTCAGCGTGGCGCCAATGATAGCAAGAGGCGCAAAATTACCTTTTCACACTTGTCGACTGCTTTCTGCACGATCCGCTCCACCCTCTCGAAATCAGGACACATGCCGGTGCAGGTACCCACGGGTGTGATAGCCTGGTTTAAAGAAGTGGGCTGGTTCGGGTCCGCCATCTGGCCATCTTTGATCGCCCGTTCGCGCTGTCTCACATGATCGATTTTCAGCTGCAAATTTGATTAGCTCGGTGGTCGTGTTGTGCATGTTCGAGGATGTGAAGACTGACTTTGTCAAAGCGTTCCTGGTAATTGTTCAACGTTGATGCATGCTCCATGGACGCGGCAACATTAGATCCCCCGCCAACGAATTTCGCCGAGGATTGTTGTTTCGTAATGTTCGGTTGGGCGAATGGGTTCTTGGCGACGTTCGAAGCCGAAGCATTGTTTGACACTCTGGAAAATGGAGACTGCTGGGCGGGCTGGGCGCCAAACGGCGATGCGACAGGTTTCTGCTGATTCGATTGCGCAAATGGCGAGTTGACAACACCAGGCGTGGGACCTTCTGCAGGATGTTGGGATCCGTTCGCGGTGTGGTTTGCAGCGCCTGCGCCGCGGCCACGACCACGAGCCGTCCATGTCGCCGACCCTCGTCCACGCCCTCGAGCCCTCGCTGCTCGAGGCGCACCTGACCCTC